TTTATAAAATAAGCTTATTTTAAATGATGAAACATCACATATAGTGTTGAAAATGAACATGTCCATAGTTCATTGAAAAGATTTTTCTCACCTCCACTCAGGAGCTTCATGACCAGCCAGAGTTCATCTTTCACAACAAATGAAGTGTAGTAGGTGACCACGTTGGGATGGTAACACTGGCTCATGGCTTGAATCTCTTTCTGTGGAGACAGATGGAGGTGTCTAGCTTTATAATGCATGTCTTTAATAATGTCCATGTGCTTTATAATGCATGCACATCAAAGTAATTGCAATGGCAGAAACAGAGAAGCTCTTGAACCGATTTATAATAGACAGTATTCACTAATAGAATGAATCTCGCAAAGTCTGTTACGAACAAGGCCATATTTCACACCAAAATCTAAAGAAAGAAGAAGAAATTCAAGCCCATGTTTATGACTATTATTTTTTATTTTTTTGAGAAAAATTGTAAATAACATTTACACACATTTTTCATGACCATATTGGAAAAACCTCTATTCTTTAAAACTGCATATAATTTTTTTTAAGTATTTATACATGGAGGTAAAAATTACTGTATGACCTTTAATTAATGCAAATGTAAAAAAAAATTGAATGTAATAAAAGTATTAAAAAGTTTGATTGATTTACATGAATCAGTTCAACCATGGACTGGAATCACTGTCCATTTCAATTATTTGATTCAACAATTCATTTGAGTCATCATTCAGAAATTCATCTTTCTGTGTAAATGATTTAAATGTTTTAGCAAAAATAAGCATGTAAATTGTCTGTTATGTCCCTACATATTTTGTTATATTGGTGTAATTACATGAAAATGATTAGTAAAAAACATCTAATTTTTTGTATAATTTTAAACTTACATTAAACATTTTGAATCTTTGGTTGAAATGACATTTCCTTTGATTGAAAAGAAAAAGGAGCAAGCGTAACTGTTATAAATATGATAATATACAGACATTTTTATACTTATAAGGAATACTAATAAGGAAACTTAATTTGTGAACACAACAGACAAATTCTTATCTTTGAAATCTGCAGTGGCAATCAATGCTTCAATACTGATGCTGTTTTTCAATTTATTTCAAAGCAGAACTCATGCATGAATGTGCAAGAAAAACCTGTTTAGCTTGTGCATGTAAGCATGCATCCAACTGATAAAGAAATTTCACATATTCCAATAATATAAGGCATTAATAAAAGGACTGCAGGATGCAAACCTGAAGTAAATTGAAAAAGTGCATTGCATATGTGCTGTCTGGATTCAGCATAAATTTACACAAACCATATTTCTGTGTCAGCCAATTTGAGAGTAAATCGGAGAGATGTTTATAGCAGAATCCCATCTCCGGGAATAAACTTGTTTTCGTGACAGAAAAGTCATTAATCAAACCATCAGTTTCCAATCTCACTGCACCAAAA